GGAGGCGCCCTGTCCTCTGGACTATAAAATGTCACCGACACTTTGAACCCGCTGTGGCTCATAATTAGCTGTGAATATATGCATACAGTACAAGCTGTGTTGTGTTTGTGTGGTTGTTTTCAGGTTTGTAGAACATACACTGCACGGACATCGAGTGGGCACAGGCTGAGTCAAAATAGCTTGAACGCACTCCTACGTAATGCATCCACAATGTGATATATGTACATAGATTACATTTCTATATAGGATGTATATGTACATATAAAATAAAAACATATATGTAAAAATTATATATGAAACCTGTTAGAAGTTTTCATATTATGACATATATGTCTAACTCATACAAATATGTATGTTTATGTATGTATGCTATTATTGTATATTATATATATATCAATAACGATCCCAAAGCCTGTCAATATATAATGATATGATATAAAAGTCTGAGACCAGTTTCCCTGAATAGAAAGAGTAGAATAGAAATTAAGGAGAAAATCAAATAAAAATATAGATTTTTATGTTGTTTGAATACACTTGCGTATATATATTAAATAAATAAAAGCATATATGGTCACAACATTTTATACCAAATCAGTTTAAATATAGAATATATAATTTTTTATCTATTTGTGTCTTGAATAAATGTGCATATATGATTCATATGAATTATATATGCACATTTATTCACACAATATATATATATATATATATAGTGAGAGAGAGAGAGAGAGAGAGAGGAAACACAAGCACAACATGCAAACTCCACACAAAAGGACCCCCAGCTGGACAAGTGGCAAGTGGTGCAATGGCTCTCCTTTCTGAAGTGTCCTTTAACAGGATGATGACAAAACACTTACACCTTCCTGTTCTCGGATACGACAAATCAGGTACAGCAGCTGTTTGGATACACGTCTAACCTTACAATGACGCTTAGATTCATTTTCTACAACAGCAATTAATGTTTTTTTTCCTGCCAGTCAAAGAAATATCTTGCTGACTTAAAACAACCTGTATATACAGATCAATCAAAACATGAAAACATATTTTTAATAAATAATAGTAAATAATAAAGTACGGAATGTGCATCAGAGAACGTTAAAAGTCCCATACAGTATAAAGGTAGATGTCCATATGTAGTTTGATTATAGATCAGGTCTGGGTTCTATATTAATACTGTGAAAGTATCAAAATGCTCAGTCCGCAGAGAAATGCACACAGCCTGTATTCAGAAACTGCAGCCATCAGGACTTCCTGAACATTGTGATGTCACAACAAAGCAGTCATGCTTTCACCTGGACCCACCATCCAAACCTTGCAGGATTTGCAGGAGTGTTTTACCTGAAATCCGCTCCAGTTTTTATTAGATCACTCAAAAACAATCAGCCAGATCAGAAGAGAGGCTCAGAGCTAAAACTACTTTGAGATGGTTTCCAGTTATTAAAACCACAAATATATCTTCTTCAGTGTTTAAAATAAAACACTAGAGGGGCGTTGAGTGGCGCAGTGAGTTGAGCAGGCGCCCCATATGTAGAGGCCCTTTACTGCATGTCATTCCCCCTCTCTCTGCCTCCCCATTTCCTGTCTCTCTGGCTATCATAAAGGCATAATAAGCCCAAAAATATATACTTTAAAATATGGGACCTTTTAATTTAACCACAGTCAACCAATCAGAAGAGAGGCTTAGAGCCCGATGAAGTAATGGCACAGACAAATACACAGACCTCTGGTCCTGTGTAGTGAGTTCACACTGAAACATACAGAGTTGTCTCCAGGAAGGAGCTGCATACCCGACATTTACAAAAGCTCTCATCTTCTCCCGCCTACTCAGCGTTTAATTGCCACCAAACTATCGGCAATATGAATGTAAATATTACAAATTCACCTGAGAACCCTGCGATGAAGTTCAGTTCGCTTTAAACAGAGCAGGCAGTAGCTGCGCGGATCAAGTCTTTTCCGCTCGGAGCCACTGTAGCTGTATGCGCTTGCCATTCAGGACTACAAAACCCACATACGCGACTCGACTCGACTCGACTCGACTCGACTCGCCGCCCTCTACACTTCTCATACACTAATACCCACAGGCTTGTGGGTATTACTGATGGTGCAGCCTGAGAACTGTTGCAGTTAAGTCAATTTACACAACTTTTAGTTTCTGTTAGTGGTAATAATTGTTGTCCAGGTTATTTTTCTATAATAGAATTTAGTTTATTTACTTAAAGGTCCCATATCTGACACTTTTCCTGTGTTTTATTTTTAAGTGTTATCCATGAGAAGATGGTGGATTGTGGTTTTAACTAAAAACCATTTCAATGTAGTTTTACAACAACAGGTCACTGAGCCAATCAGAAGAGAGGAGGCTCTGAGCATGTCTCCTGATCGGCTGCACTAATAAAAACAGAGCAGATTTCGGAGAAAACCAAATCCTGCTAGGTTTGGATGGTGGGTCCAGGTGGGCGGGGCTTAGAGCGATGGCTGCTTTAATGAAACACAGGCTAACTCCTGCTCTACGCTAACTACTTCATGTTCCCCCTGCTTTAAGCCACACCATATAAGTAAATTTTGCACCTGGCAAATTTCAGTGTGAGTGCAGCTTTAAGGTGGAATTTGTGATTTATTACACAGTCCTCATAGTCAAATGAAAGGTTGTTGGTCAATGCTTTCCACAACGACACGTATTAGCGTTTCAAAAACTATCTGCGTTAGCTTTTAATCAAGTTTAATGGTTCAAGTTTTACACGTCTCCTGAGTTTTATTTTGAAATGTTGATCCATAATAAGATATATTTCTGGTTTTAAGAACCAAAAACCATCTCAATGTAGCTTTACATCTCCTCTCAGGCTTCTCTCTGGAGCTCTAGTAACAACAGGTCGATCAGAAAGAGGAAGCTCTGAGACTCTCTTCAGAGTGATCTAATAAAAAATAGATTTCACGTTAAACACTCAGAGAAACCAAATCCTGCAAGGTTTGGATGGTGGGTCCAGGTGGTCGGGGCTTAGAGCGGCGAATGCTTTGTGACATCACAAAGTTCAGTAAGTCCTTATGGCTGGTTTTGAGGCTCAGTTTCTGAATACAGGCTGTGCAGATTTCTCTGTCATGTGAGCACTATGATACTTTCACAGTATTATTATAGAACCTAGATCTGCTTTATAATCACACAACGCATGGACATCAACCTTTATACTATAGGGGACCTTTAATAAACACCTTTAAAACACCCAATACTGGAAAACGCAAAATTTAAGTAGAAATCAGCACCTAATACTGAGACTTTGTTCCTCTGGTTTGATCTGGGGTCAAAAACAGAAAACTAAGCACATGAGTGATAAACACAGCCCCCCCCCCCCCCCCCTGCTCTTTAAGAGTCTATGCACATCACTGACACTCACACAGCTCAAGCTGCCACACATGCAACTCATTTAGTTAGAAGATTAAAGATTAAACCAACAGATCCGTTGCAGATCTTTGCAGGTTACTGCAGCAAACGTACTGTACACACAACAAAGGGATGATTGGATGGAGTAATGGGACACCTTACTGTGCAGTAATCCCTCCTTGACAATAAAACGCACCAGTATCAGCATGTTAACGCGGCTCCTGCTGTTTCTACCTGTTAGTCGCCTGCTTGTCGTTGTGTTTGCGTGCATGCGGTTTGGACAGCCGCCACCAAACTGTCAGTGGAATATGTTGATGTGCTGTGTCATGTGACGAGAGGCCTTCGTTTGTGATGCTTTAAAGCTGCAACATTGTCTCGTTTCTCCACAAAAGAATAAAAAAACAATTTGTTCCTCCGACATGTTTCCAGGAATCTCTCTGACGCTCGGAACACGGAGGAGGTGGATTATGTCTTTGCATGTTGTAAATGTTTGACTTTCAATTTTTGAACGACATGACTTTCATCCTCGGATTGAACAACAAAAGAAAATCTACAAAACACGACTGGAGGATGATTGGTAGAAGTTGGACATGTCCAGTCTGGCTCAGGAAAGGAGGTGAACTTGATTACCAGTTATTACGACACCAATGCAGACCTGAGCAGGTAACACCTTCCTCCCTGCACCCACACATGCATCAACATCTTCTAGTAAAAGATTTTATGACCTCATATGCACCTATGCCACCAAGTTCAAGAACCTAAAACACACACACCTATAACACACACACACATACAAGGTCATATCATTTTAAAGTATGTGGTGAAACCCCCTGTTGCAGAGGCTGCCTCAACTGCCACCCAGTATGAGTACAAGCTTAAAATCACAGCATTAGCAGCGGTGTAGCTGTAAAAGAAAATGAAAAAGTCTGGCAAGGCACCCCCCCCCCCCGTTCTTTTTTGTTTCTTTTTCCCCTCATCAAAAAAAAAAAAAAAAAAAAAATCTACATCCAGATATCCACACCACCATCTTGTGGCTGCCTGGTTGGAGATGCACGAGGAGCTTGCTGCTGCTGCTGCTGCTGCTGCTGCTTGAGGATGATGCTCATGTCTGTTGCACCTTACACTGAAGAGTTGTGTCGAAAACGCAGGTGTGAAACGAGCTTTAAACGCCTCGTGCTGCCTTTGTCGCAGTAAAACTTGACCCGAGCTGTTGCTTTTTTTTTTTTTTTTTTTTTTTTTTTTTTTTTGGTTCCAACCAAACACTGATTTCCATATAAAAATCTACCGCGATCTGTATCTTTGTATCATTCATTTAGAAATAAAAGGAATAAAAAAAAATCGGATAAGTGCGCAAGAAGACTGAGCGCGAGCAACTGCGGATGGATGGGGAAAACTCCACATTACACCTCTTTACGTGTGTTTTTCTAACAAATTCTGTTTGTGAAAAATGACTCACGCAGTTCCAAAATGTCTGTGATGGATTGAGGATGAGGAAGGAGGAGGAAGGAGGAGGGTGAAAACGCACACAAATTCAGCCTATGTTGTTTTTTTTTTTAACACAGGCTGCATCTGTCTGGAGGAGAAGCTTGGAAGCCTCCGCATCCCATCCCGCGTGCAGCGCACTTACCTCCGTCTGTATCTCCTGTATCTCCACCGTCTGACTCCTTTTTTTTTTTTCTTTTTCTCTTTTTTTTTTTTTTTTTTACATAAGTCCCGACTTCCGGCGAAATCCAGTCCACATAGGTAAGAAAAAACCCAGAATAAAGTCCACGTCCAGTCCGCTGCCGCTGCAAATCCAAAGTAAGAACAAGCGCAGTCCCGGTGTAGCCACTGAAGGCAGCCCCCCCAACTATACGTCCTATACGCGCGTCCGTGCGTGTGTGTGCGCGTGTGCAAAGTGTGTGTGTGTAAGTGTGCGAGTGTGTGTGTATGTGTGTGCGTGTATGTGTGTGTGTGTGTGTGTGTGTGTGTGGTGGAAGGGGGTAGGGGGGGGAGGGAGAGAATAGAGATGCGGCTTTATCAGCACAGAAGATGTTTCAATGAGTCATTGCAGAGGCACTAGAAACGGTTCTGAATCTAATTGCTCTCATAGAGCGCGTGTACTGCGAGGACGAGATTAGTGATAGCGAAACCAGGTCTCTCTCTCTTTCTCTCTCTCTCTCTCTTACTCTCTCTCTCTCTCTCTCTCTCTCTCGAGCTTGCCATTGGACTACACCGGCTGAAATTTACTAAGCCCGCAGCCAATGGATTGCCGCATTCTCTCCATCACCCTTAAGCAGCCGCTGTGTTGTGGCAGCTCTGGCATGGAGGCTGGCTGCTTTTCAAACCGGGGGGGGGTCCCGAGGCCTCCCAAGGGGCCCCCCTTCTGAGCTTTACCTTACCATTGAACTTCACCAAAATGTGAAGGAAACCAGCTCCTATCTATGTTTTGTGGGGCACATCAGTCCCCACAAATTCATTATGTTATAATTAGTTTTTAATCGTTGTGTTTGTTTGCCAGTAATTTTCCTTCATTAAAGTGCAAAATAAACCTTTTCTTCCCTTTTGACCAGAGTTTTCCAACCATTATGACCATAACGGTATGGAAGACAAATAATGCCTTTTCATCGCGCTTTTTATTTTAATGATAATGAGATGCGAACATTTAGTTTTTCTTTTTCTTTTTTTAAATGTATTTATTTTTTTATTTTTTTTTATTTTTTTACTTTTTTTTTATTTATCAGTGAAAAAAACAAAGTGACACAGAAGACATTGTAACCATGAAGCATGATAGACAAGTGACAGTGTACACAAAGTGGCATTTTGTGTGTATGAAAGTTGAACGTATACAACAATAATAATAATAAAATATAATAATAATGATAATTATATTGATAAAAAAATATATAATGCTAACAATGATATATAATAGTAAAAAAGTGGTTATGGCAGCAATGTACATGTACATATATATATATATATGTACAGCCAGCGTAATAGCAATAATATATGATAATAATAATATAATACAATAATAATGTGATAATAATGTCAGTTTTTCTTTTTCAATGTTTCATCTGTGCATAATGAATGTGCTTGTCCTTGCTTTCTTAAAATCAAATAATTGCGAACTGCGCGCGCAGGGCTATGACTATAAATTTACAATTATACAAGAAAAATCAAATAACTAAATGAGTTAGGAGAGATGAAGAAGACTAAAGCAGCGGTTCTCAACCTTTTCGAAACTCATGGCTTACTATAAAATCTCAAAAATTTTGGCAGCCCACATCCCATAACAATACGGAGGTCAAATAATGCTTTTCTTTTTTTATTGCTTTTTTTAAAAAAAAAAATGTCAATCTGTCTCTTGACTATTTCCTTTTAATTCTTCCTGTTGCTAACCAGCTATCCATTTTGATTCTCCAGTTTTTGCCATGGATCTAATCTGTTAGATGTGGTCTTGTTCTAAAGTTCATGTCATTGGCATATCAGTGACAGGCCTTAATACAAGAAAAACAAACAATGAAATGTTTAATGTTTTTAAAGATAATTTCATTTTAAAAATATTTGAAATATTTTAAATTATTTTTTTTACATCTTTTCACCAAAACCCAACTGTTTTGTCGGCCGCTTGCAATACTTTCGTAGCCCAGTCCACAGCGGCCCTGAGAGCTCAGTAGCACTGCAACTTTAGAAAACGTGCAAACTTCAGAAAACTTCATCAATTTGACTACACGAGCAACAATTTTGGACCCCACTGTATATAATATAAACATACACTGACAGGCTTTGGGATGGATACATATTTATGTAACATATATCTACAGTGTAAGCATACATATATATAAATGTATATATTTGTATAGGCTAGATATATGTCAATATATGAAATTGTTCCAATTTACATATGATAATAATAATAATTATTATATAGTTACATATGAAACAGGTTTCATATATAATTTTTACATAAATGTTTATATTTTATATGTATTAATATACGTATCCTCAATATATGTGTATATATTACATTTTGTGGGTCATATGGGTCAAACTGTTATGCCAATGTTACGCCCCGTTGCCGGGGAAAATGATAAAGTAAATAAAAGGTGGAAAAACTACACGAGCACGACACGTTAGCGTTTTTTAGTGTGTATTCTCTCCAGTCAGCCATGCCGCTTCTTTTTCTCAACGCGGGAACAGGCATCAACAATCAATCGCCGTACAGCACATTTGCCACAGGCTTGATAAAGAAAAAAAATAACTTATGCAAGCGAATTTTGATAAAAGGTAAGTAAAAGGTTGTAAACAAAACGTGATATAAAATAAACTACTTTTATCTACAAGTGCCGCCACCGTCTGTTGTCGTCTTCTATACCTGCCAGGCAAAAGCAGTTGAACACAGAATAGATGATCAATCCTCATTTTTTATATTCCCAACTGAAGACACATAAAAAACAATGAATTACTCTTCCTTAACTCACTCTTTCTAATGAACCGCTACACCAACACATGAAAACCATGAACCATCCCTTCAATCACTACCGTGTTCAGCCATAAGCTCTTGGTTAAATGTAACCTTTTATCATGTTCAACCATGACACATTCTTTTTAATCACATCTTGCCATGAATTATTATTATTTCCAGCCAAAGGCTCCTGCTCAAACCTGACCTCTCTATCATGCTCAACATTACAACCATGACACCAACATTTTCAAAAAGGTTGGGAACCACTGCTTTAAGTTGTCTCTAACCCCTTTAATAGCTCGCTTTTGTAGTCTAATTGTAAATATATAGTTATAGGCCTTATTTGATTTCAAGAAAGCAAGGAAAAGCACATTAATGATCCAGAGATGATATCCTTCCCCTTCAATGGGCTGCATTTAAATTTAGATAATGATAAAAAGGAAACGGATACTAAACCTTTTAAAGTTGCGGAAGGATTCCCTGTGATATCAAGGTCACGTTCATTTCAAATCAGCATGAAGGAAAAAAAAAATGCGTGTCTCATCATCATCATCATCATCATCATCATCATCATCAGTGTCGGAGCTGGAGCTGGAGGACGAGGGCAGGCTGAGAGCTGCACAGAAAGGCAGGCCTCACTTTGATATCGTCATCATTTATTCCCTCTCCCCACATCATAAACCCTCAGCGGTCGGGGGTATCCTCCGCGCCTCTGAAGTATATATCAGGCTCAGTCAGTGGCTCGGCCCAAAGTGACTGTGTGACTTTCATGAGACTGATGAAGGGGGGAAGTCACCGCAGCTGGGGTGGAGCCGAATCAAATGTTTAACAGGATTATGAATCCACCTGTAACCTCTGAATTATGACACATATGACCTTTATTAGCAGTAACTTAACTTCACAATGAATGTTTCTTATCTTCTTTCAGACTTGTGAAGAGAAAACATCCAAAGAAAAGATCCACATTTTTGTGTTTATTCTACTCCACTTTCTCTATTTGTGTCTGTAGATTTCTCCGAAATCCACCAATGCACCGCCACGGTCACCGTCTGCACCATGTCATCACAGATATCATTGTAAAACTCTTTCTCTCTCCTGCAAAATGTTATCGCATCCAAACCTGGTTATTTCCTTTGTATCATATATTTTCTGTGTGTGTGAGTAAACAGTGGTTTCCAATAAAAATGCATGGAATTTTACAATCTGCTGTTTTCTGAAAATGAGTTTTGTTCTCCTGCTCCGAGCCAGAAATCTCCACTTACATACACTCAACTTTACAATTTTATTCTATATTATATTATTTTTATATTTTTGAGGGTTTGTTCATATATATCTTCATCGCCTGATTTAAATATAATTTTGTGCCTAAAACATGGCAAAAGTAGATTTGTTATGGCTTTTTAGAAAGTATTTTCTGAAATGTGGAGTGATAAAAATAAATATCCAAAATCCACACTGTGACAAACCTTTGACTCTGATCTGACACCAAAATGAAACAAGAATTTTGAACCTAGCTTTACCCAATGTTCAGATTTCTGTTAAGGGAATTTATGCTAATTAGCGCATATTTAATTTGCTCATTTGCATATCTACACATAAACAAAAAAAAACTTGCAATAAAGAAAATAATTGTTTCGTATTTAATGTAAATAATCAACTGGGGAAGTTTAAAGGTGTAATGTGTAATATCGTGCTACTTGCTCCACCTCCACAGGGGGCAGCATTTCACCTCTTCACACCTGTCCAGGAAATCATGTTGTTTTCCCCATGTTCCTTATAATTTATTATCTATATGTGCATTTATTGTTGATAGTTACAATTGTTGATAGCACTGGAAAAAATTATGAGTACTTGTAATGCAAACAGTATGTTTTTATTTACCAATAAAAATATGAAGGGAAGGGGATACTGCATTGACACATGGGTGTCAGCAGCATGAGGAAGGGATGATGACATCATCACAAAGGCCTTTTCTTCTGCGTCTGGCCTCATCAGTCAACAAGCTGGTCCATCACTGGGGAGGACTGGACTGGAATTGTGGTCCTGATACAGACAAACCTGATTGGACAATTAGTTTAGATTATATACTTTCTTTATATTCAAACATGTTAGGTCTGCTGTGTGTGTATAATAAATAGGATAGATATGAATATGCTAAAATAAATACAGTATTAGGCAGTGGATTCTGAACCCGCTGGTTCTGTTCATGTATG